ATTCAGGTTTTTCAGCATAAGAGTGTCGTGAATGCGAATGGCACAATTTTATGGAGATGAACCATGCTACTACTAATTTTCGAATTCTATAATTTTCCATCTAAATTAATCTGAAATGTACACCAGAGTCTTCTTCTTTTTTTCAATAACTTTAAGAAAATGGCTAAAGCTAGAAGCTCATGAAAACCAATCGAAACTGGTGCAATTAATTTTCTAAATGGTTTGGCAGTTATATAGTTTTTAAATTTTGTAATGCTTCTCACTCAGCCAGTTTTGGATCAAACTAGCCAAGGATCAGTTAAAACCAGCTGAAACTAGTTGTGCAATGCCATGTAATATTCACGTGCAAACTGGTGCCTCATTTTATCCTACTAGTCTAGAGAAAATGTTGATCCAATAATCCAATTATGGTGCATTGTGGATATTTTTATTTTTATATAGTTTTCAAACAAGCGCATTGGTTCATATGTAACTCATAAGCTCATAAGTGACGAACTATCTGGGGGCTCAAGAACATAAACATCTTACATGCTACCAACATTTGCAATAAAATCTTTAGCAATCACTTTGGCCGTCATAATTGTGCCCCGTAATGGCTAGCAACTATTCAAATTGTATCATCTATGCACAAGTGCATCAATATTTCATAAGTATTTCATAATTGGATACGTTGTTTTAAAACATTTTAATATTAGTGCCACATTTGTTATTTGCTTCTCTGCACTGATAGCTGAACATTAAGATTACTCACTCACTTAAACTTAAGCTTTCAGTAAATGACCACGAATTTGAGCACTTGTTCCTCGCAATTGCTCTAACGATTGCTCAAACGTTTTTACACAAAAATTCAATAATTTTGACTAGTCACATGTTTGACTGCCACCTTGGATTTTGCATTAAAATACGTTGCTCTGGTAACTCGGGTAAGTCTTGGAGAATAGCCATAACTTGGCTTGCAACATCTATAAGCAGTGCCATTTATGTACACAATATATTCATTTTGATTACTTGCCATTTTGAACTTCACACAAAAATGGCCAAGTATTCAATCATTGGTTTATGTTGTTTTCATTTTGCACCAAACTTTATAAAGCCATTGTCAAATCGGTTTTTGTTTGTTTTTTCCTGTTTTATTATCTAATAGATAATACACGTGTATCTACATGTGTATCAACAATGCGACTTTTTGTTACAGGATGCAAATTCATCGTTGACGAGTGATACTTGGTCGATCAACAAAGAAAATAAAACACAAATCAATCATAATGTCATAACGAAAACTGAAAAAACTACTAAAAGGACACGTTACCTGCTTCCTCTAGTTTATTACTGTCCAATGGGACCTAATTCAATTTATCAAGGAATTCGTATGGCAATTAATTATGCTTTGCATGAGAACAGAAGCATAGTTCAAGTTCCATTCAATGCACATGGTTGAGCACCGATGCCAGATGGAATGTCCAGGATAAAGCAATTCAACGAGACATTCGATGTGAATAGGTTGTCTGAACTTGTACCTGTGTCAACTGTAGGCGATTTTGTAAGAGACTGTGGACGAAATATTCATTTAGCATCTTTGATTAATTTACGTATTGGTAAAGTAAGTTTACCTCAAGATTGGACAAAACATAAGATAACAGTGTATAAGGATCCGGAAATTATTGAAGATATACTAGGTATAAGACTTCCAGCCATTCTTGATCCTGGTCCGTCCGCAGCAAGATTGAGGATGGATTTTGAAACTTCTTATGACACACCATGTAAAGCTGTGTTATTAAGAGATGCTGGGCCTGTTTATCGTACTGTGGACAAATATCATGAAGAGAGTTATCCTATAATTGACAAATATCTGACACGGTAATCGTATATACGTGAAATGGCAGACCAAGTTAGCAGTATGATTTGTGATGGTAAACCCTTTGTATCATTGCACTGGAGAGCAATGGTGGAAAAGTAGGTATATCTTTTGATAAATATAGACTTAAATTAATGTCCCAGTATTTTCTGTTGTTCATCGTGTGGTGAAAACAAGACACTTCACGGGAAATTTACAATAAAACTGGGTGTTTAGATTTAAAAAATGAGTATCAAATAGAACAGTATAATAAAAAGGATGCGCTGTTTAAATTGAATATTTGATATTGTATATTCCAGATGTTCACTCATTCAAAATCCGACTTCCAAGACGTGCCTAATGTCTCCAGATATACTGAACAAGAATAGAGATTTGATTGTGAATGTTACTAAAAATTTTCTATTATCTATAAAATGTACGTGTGTGTATGTAGCAGCTCCAAGCGGAGAAAGGGTAATTCATTATATACGTATAATACAAAAGATTATTATATTAATCTGGCAAACCACTTTTATTTTCATTAGGTACTATTTTGTATCTATAAAAGAAATCTGTAAGCCATTTTGACTTATACTGATTATTTTCAAGTCATTAAGCCCATAAAGTTAGCTAGTAAATTTGAGCACTGTTCATTCACAACAAACTTAGTGAGACTAAAGAAAGTCCTTTTAGCTCAAGTCTTCAAGCCAAGCTTCATTCCAAAACATTACAAACCATTTGTACCATGGAATTTGAGTTTATGACATAAGCTAACATGTGGTACTTTGTAAAAAGCCTTTTGGAAGTCTAAATCGATGGCATCCACGATAAATGCAGAGTCAACTCAAGAAAGCAAAGTAGTTTAGTGGGAAAAGACCTCCCAGGACAAAACATACGTTTTAATTGAGCTGAATTTAAACATTCAATGTTTGGGAGATTGCTCTGCGGTTATGTTCAACAACAAACACAATCATTAACGTAGTGTGCCCTATTGCTGATATATATATATATATATATATCTACACAATTTTCTTTCAGAAAATGATAAACCTTTTCAAACAGACTGGACTTAGCATTATAGATAGCAATTCACTCTGTAATATGTTAATATTTGCAAAGGATACACATCTCTTCTTGCAAGATCCATACAGAATGTCACTATTGGAACAAGAGATATCTATTCGTGAGTTTGATCACATGTGATATTCATATTATTATTCATAAATGTTGTCATTAAAAATTAAATACAACAGTTCAAGGCAATAAAAGTACAAATAACTTCCCATACATTATAATTATATAACAGTTGTTTGAAAGCCACTTCAAGAATGTGAATTTCATCCGATAACCTACATATCATGTGAAAACTATTCATTTTTCCTGTTGGTTACGTTGTTTCTTATTAACTAGGAGCCCATATCTTTATCAAGAACCGCTGGTCAAATTGGTCTGACTTTGTGGAATATTCAAGGACAGCTCAGAATAAATTGACTCACACATATGAAGATATTCCTGGTACACCAGCAGATGTATTAGCAGGATATCGCATTGTGAAAAAGTAGAGTTTTATTTAGTACAGAAGCTGGACATTTTATCAATACCATGGTGTATCATAGTTATTGCTCAAAGTCACTGGTTCAATATTATGTTCTGTAACCTATAATGTTCATTTGCGTAGCATAAACCTCTTTGCACCTGAAACCAGAATGTTGCATAATATAAAACGTCATCGCAAGTACACATGTATCGTAAATTTTGTTTAAAGTTTATATGTGCTATGTATGAAGTGCTTAATTTTACATCGTTGTTGATGTTATTATGATCACAAACCGGACAACACCGGATATAGTGATTGCTTTTTCATTTCCAAATTGAATATCAAAATGTTATGCAGTTTCAGGACTGGTGACACGCAATGTTTAAATACCAGACATGACATGTTATTATTAAATGTTCTTTATCGTTATTTCGCTCATTGATATAAAGTAGTTTCATACATCAAGGGATACATATTCATTTGACAGGTTTGTGTTGACAATTTGAAAAATTACACAAACTTTATATCACACAGATGCTAAATGCTTTAGGGAACTTCATTAAATCAACGGGAAATCAGTCATGACTCGCACTGTTAAATGAAAGTTTAAGTATCGGTTCGTGCTGCTGTTATACACGCATATGCAGAATAATTATTAAATGGTACAATGAAAATAATTCATAATACCGAAATTTTAGTTTTTGCAAATAACTTTTCCAGTAAAACATTTTACATCATAGACGGTGACTCACTCTACAATACGATAATCGGACCAAGGCAGTCATACTTTTACACTTTTTAAAATATTTGTGTATATATTTTATGATTATTATTCAATATATACAAGCATGTAATATTGCATTATGACTAAACGATCTACAGCGTCAGGGTTACATTGTGAAACGGGTAAATTATACGTAGCGCCCTCAAGTAGCCAATTTTGCCTAGTCCGCCAGGTCATTCCAGGTGACATCAACTGTTAGATATATATATACACAAAATCTGCGATGTTACGGGAAAAATATTCTTTTTTGGATCATTCCAAACAAATTACTCGTTATTATTAGCTATATTAGCAAGTAGTATACAAAAACCGTTATGTGAATGTTGTCTATTTATTTCCAATGAAATGTGAATTTTGATAGCATTCTATACAATATGTGAAATTATTAAAA